ACTCTACCAGTCCCGTTCTCCTGCCCGCGGCGAGCAAGCTTATAATGCCCACTCGGAGAGAACCCAACGTGGGGTTCTCACATTTGGAGAGAAACCCACGTAGGGTTCTCCTGCCACATCAGCAGGCGGGCAGGATAAGCTTGCCCGTCGCGGGCAGGAGAACATTTTCGTTCCAAATAAATTAAACAATCATGCTACATGTACATTATTTTTTATGTCATTTCTTACACTTTGTAATTGTCACGTGACAATACATTATTGTATAATTTAAATTTTTGACAATTTTTCTCCTTAGTTAACAATTGACACCACTTGTAATGTCAACAAAAGAGTGTGCACATGACGTTTTCCTAAGTTAAATTTACTTTTAAATTAAATATAAAATTTTAAGTTGTTTGTCTTAATCCCAGTTTATTTCAACTTAAAAAGTAAATTAAAAGTCGACATTTAATCCTTGTTTGATAATTATTAAAATAATTTTTTTTTTCCTCAAATTCATTTTCAATCATGAACGATCTACTAGGGACAGTGGGATCTGCTGCCCCCTCACTAAAAAAAAGACAAGATTTTACAAAAACAAATTCATGATTTTACACGAGATTTAAAAAAAAATCCTTATAATTTTCAATTTTGCACCCCATAACCTACACGTATTCATAATAAAATATTCTATACGTAAATAAAAAAATTTTCCTATTTTTTAGCTATACATTTTTTTAAAAATTCACTATTTCAAAACTTCTTTTTTCCAAAAAAAAAATTATATTTAATGGTTGTCAAACATGGACTTAATTTTAATTACATATTTCATTAGACCTACAATTTTTCAATAATACATTCTTATCTAAGTTTTTAATTTTTATTTCCAAACGGGGAATTATTCACGAATATCACTTCTCCATGAAGACTCGGAGATTTGTTATCAGGTGAGCAAATTCTTTACCGGCTCATGTTTGAGCCCTCATTCTTTAAAACACATTTTTTATAAAATATTTTCGATCGCCTATCCTTTTATTTTTTTACTATACATTCTTC